ATGACAACTTGGCTAGTGAGCAACCATTTTGAAAATGGTGGCCTTTCTGGTGTGTTGTTTTATGATATTTGCGCTTCGTTTGTAAAAATGCCAGCCATTTCTGTTCGATGGGATTCGCTACGCTTTGGCGTTGCCGTTGTTCTGGTTATATCATGTACATGTATGAGATAATTTAAATGGTTCCAGATGTTTGTAAATTTAAGTTAATATCTAGGTGTTAGTACTCAATGTTATCAATATGTATTATCGGTACATCAAAACAAATGTTTGATATCTCTTATATATTTGAATACAGTGTCTGATTTTCTTGATTGTCCTTTATCAGTGTCCCTTTAATATTATGGTTAACGCTACTATGTTTGGATTTATCCAAGATTCAGTGTGAAAGATGACATACTTTTTATCAGGGATCAAATGAGGGTAATTCACTTTTCTACTTTAAATTGAATGGCTAATAACATGGCACTCATTGACCAGTCATCAAAATGCAGCGCTTTAGTGCAGGCAATTTGATTGAATCCCATGGTTGCAGTCTTTCTCTAAAAGCAGAATCTGGCTCATCAATAATCATGCACTTGTTCTTGTAATATTCTGTGGAATTCTATCAGTTAGTTGAAGCTGGGAGAATACATCTACATCTATTTAGGGACATCAGCGGGAAAGCACTACATTTTTTATTTCTACTTATATATTATTTCTCATGTATGTAGTTTTGATAAAATAGTATGATTATCCAACTAGATCCAACATTAGCTTATTGGCCCTTACTGGATTTCCAAGATATGAATTGAGTTTGTCATCATGAATGATTTAAGTGAATACATTTTGGTAGAACAGTTTACTAATCCCTATTATGCCATCGAGATGAGCAACCCCCTCCCTTCCTCATCTGTTTTCTGTTCAGCTGTATGCTGTGAATATAGTTTTTCTTGCTTCAAGCCCTTGTTTACCCCCCCCCCCACTCACTGCTCTAGCATGCATACATTCAAAAGATACAAAAATGGATAGGAGGAATGGAATCTCAAATCCATAGATTTGACGCTAGATGTTGGTTCTTGGCAATCTAATGCATTGGTATTCCAGCCTATGTACAATGATTTGCAGCCATAAATATGTAAAGGTTGACAAATAGATAATTAGTGAAAGCTACTATAAATAAACACTCAGGCTGTTTTATGTTCTAGATATACATATTAATCTTAAATGTGACCCTATGTGTTGAACATTATTTTCATGTTTGTTTACACATTGATTCCTGGACATTCCTTACACCCAAGCATGTATGAAATGAAAACTACAAGAACATTTAAGGTGAAAAATGACATTTGGAGAATCATAATAGACCTTTATGTGAAGCCTCTCCAAAAGAGGAATTAGATTCTTTAAGAGCATCATGCTTGATTTTGAGCTAATCTCTCAAAAATGGAACTAATATTACATTAATCTAGAATTGATATTTAACGAAACAAGTTACTGACATCATAAAAGGATGGGTTAAAATATTGCTAATTGTTTAGTTATGTGTGGTTGAAATGAATCTTAGAGCAGGAAAGGTTTTGAGAAACAAAGCAAAACTAAACTTAAGTGAACTATTCTAATCAGATATTAGAATCTGAGTTGAAATGAGGTAAAGTAATCAAAATTGAACTGAAGAAGTTTACTTGTAACATTTAAACAACAACTGCAAAAGCATAAGTATAAATAAACTAAAATATATGATATTGGATATAAATCTGTATATTGATTAGAGGTCAATATGCCCTGTAGGCAGTGAGTAACATTTCATTTTTAAAAATAGATGGTAATATATCTGTTTTGTTGGTAAATGTGACTTGAAGTTTTTTACTTATGATGCTATGTATCACTGCGGGAGGTATTGCGAAACAACTTTCATGTAACAGTGTCATTGCATTTTCATTATTTTTCCATCAAAACTGTATGTTATTGTAAAAATTGACTAAACTGAAATATATTATTATTATTAAAAAAATAAATAAAATAAAAAATTAGAAGACTCCAGCACAAATATGTACCATGCTATGGTATGGTATGGTGGTTACTTTGATGTATATAAATGTACTTAAGAAAGAATTGAACATAAATATTCAAAGTAATATATTATCTTTAAATGATTTGGATTGTTTGGGAAAATAGGATAGGTTAGTATGTACAGGGTGGGCCAAAAAACGTCCACACTTTTTATTTTGATATAACTTCTGATAATGCATGGATTTCAATGGAATTTTGGCAGAATATGTAGATATCAATTTTACAAATGTTATAAATGTGGGATAGATAAATGGTAAGGGGTTTCTGAATAATGAATTATATGCAGTGAACACCTATGGTGGACCTACATAAATGTGTTCGCTATTGGTAGGTGTTCTCTACAGATAGGCAATTTTATACAGAACTAGGTGCAGTATTTCTGTATATCTTGCCAAAGTTTTATGGAAATTCATACATTTTCACAAAAGTAATTTCGAAATAAAAAATGTGAATGTTTTTTTTGACCCACCCTGTAGGAGGTACATGTAAGTCATTTGTTTTGGCTCAATATACTCATGTACTGTCTTAATAAATGTAATTTTACCTGTTTGGTCAAAACATTTCAATTCTGTTCAATTCTACAATTTAGGAGAGTTGACCCATATGAGTAATGTAGGAGATATGCACTATGTTACAAATGCATTTTATATTAGCATGGTTAGTAACAGGACAGTAGGCCATCTCCCAGAGGAGAGGAACTCCAGAATTAAACCTTTGATTGAAGTTGAGTTGTTTGAATTTAAGGTGAAGTAGAAGTCCCCAGTCTTATATCAAGGTTTTTCTCACAGATGATGTGAATACATCTCATGTACATTAGAGGGATACATGTTATTTACAACTATTCAAGTGTTATTCCTCTGTAAATTATATATCAGACAAAGTTATCTTTTAGGATAAGTGTTTTCATGATTTAGATGTTCTCATGATGTACTTGGTGAACCGGACATGTAGAACTAGTCAATACTATAGGTACCCTAGGAAATCCCTTAGTAATATATTTTAATATATTTACAGCCCTTGGGCTTACACCACAGAGGAAAGAATAATATTAAATAGGCATAACTTTTCAAGAATGAATCAGATACAATAGATTGGGTTAATTTGGTGCTACTTAATTGGCGATTTTGCCATTTTTAGGCTTGGACATTGCTCTGACGCCATAAATTCCATATACATTGGGGTAAAATACAAATTATTACACATATTTCTTTAATTAAACTACTGAATCTAGTTAGTAATCTATTACTGAAAGAATTCCCTATGGAAATGCTCTGAAATCATATTGATGATCATTCATCTTATCCTTTTCAGATTTATAAAAACTAAACGAAAAGTGCCTTAATTATATACACCGGACAAATTTCCCTGGAAAATTCTCGGGATCCTTTCTTAATTTTGGCGATGACATAAGTTGGCTTTTTTGTTTCGCCAAATTCGCCAAATTAAAGCAGGTGCCAAATTAACCCAATCTACAGTTTTCATATCATCAAAGTTTGTTATTCATCATTTTTGAAGATGTTCAATTAGTATGAAGTATATTGTATTTTTATTATCAAACACGTGCAGTTTTCTGATAATTTGCCATTTCATCTTTGCGTGTTGTTTTACCAATTGCCAAAAATGTCATGTGAAAATATGTAGATATTAATCCCATAAATATTTGTTCACTTCCTCCATTGTTACACTAATCAGGTATGTACTAAGATTACGAAGGTGTGCACTGGTGACAAAGCCATAGAAATAACACCCAACAAACCCGAGCATACTCCATTAGCTAGAATGAATACATGAGTATATACTCAAACCTGATTACATTTATTATGTTTTAACAATATATTATTATTTATCTTCAGATTTACTGCTTAACTGATTGTGACAATTCCTACATGAGGTCCTAGTTATAATCAAGCAGCATGAGTTGACCTTTCATTGAGGACTAACTTCATCCAGGGGATCATCCCTTTTGCCAATAAAACCAAACAGGACAAGTGGGCAATTACTGGATTAAGATATACAACATTTCTTGACTCTTCTAACATCTACTTGAACAGAGTCTCAAGCTGCCGCTGTATTTCGCCAATAAAATGTTACCAGTTGAGATATCTACGCAGTAAAAATCTAACCATATTGCCTAAGCTGTACTTTACAGCTTGCTAAGAATGCTGGGATATTTCTTGTATTGACTGGACTCTGAGACAGAGGAATAATTAATTGAAGAGTTGGATTACATATTATGATGGTAGTGTTATATGATCTTGGAGATATATGATACATTCTTACATAACAAACTGACTAGGCTGGTAAGTGTTCTTATATAACATTACATTCTTCATTAATTACAAAACTTAAGATTTTAGTTTAATTAGACATTCCCTTACAATAATTTCATTATGCCCTGTAGAGCATTTGTTTTTACTATGAGAATTTATATTTTCAACAACATATGTGAAATTTAAACAGGAGGAGTGATGAATGAATTACATCAAGATTAGTCTTGAAGAGTTGAACCAGGTCTCTGGTAAGGTTTATCCCCCCCTCCCCCTTTCTGTTTCTTTATTTACAATAAAATAGTGAAATGTGAGAGAGGTCATAATGAAACTGTCAAAATTGTTTTAATAGTACTTGTTAGATGAAGAACATTTGGGCATAAGATATTTGTTTGGAATATATAGCTTATTACCAAACCATTGGAAAGGTCATTCTGTGTGGTGACATGAACTCACGTACCGCTGAATTAGCTGATTTTAATGATGAAATTGAAGGCTCAGATGGTGAATTACCTTTTAACTGCCAAAATAGTATAAATCAATATGACTCTTATATAAAACTGATCCCAAGAGTATCAAATGATAAAAATCTAAGGGGAGTCACTCAGACTCATGGTAAAGATTTTCTTGAACTTTGTAAATCATCTGATATGAGAATGCTCAATGGTCGTATGTTCAAAGACAAAGGAATTGGTAAATTCACATACCATGGAAAATCTGGTAAAACAAAAACATCAATTAGTGATACAAATAATACAAATGGCAAAACAGTTATAGACTATGTTGTAGCCCAACCTTCTGTATTTCCTTTGTTTAGCGATTTTGAAATAATGAATTTGAGAGTAGAATCTGACCATACACCACTACATTTCTCACTTGATATCTTAGATAATCAAAAGGAAGTAACAATGAAAACAAATGAAATTCTCAACCCTTTTACATGTTTTAAATGGGATAAAAATAAAAAGTTTGAATTCAAATCAAAACTTGAAAATACTTATAGTGAAATATTACTGGATGACTTCTTTTCGGATATAGCCAATTGTAACCTAACATCTGATGATCTAACTTCAAAGTTACTAGATGTTGTAAATTATGCTTCAACAGGAATATTCGAAACAAAAACCACTAAATCTCGTACAAGCAAGTTCCCTGTTAATCCTTGGTTTAGTGACAAATGTAAAGACCTAAAGGCTAAAGTTCATAAAATAATAAAGGAAAATCCAGAGAGTGTTGATCTAGAATTGTTAACTAAAGAATACCATAGAGTTAAACAATGTGAAAAAAGGAAATACTCAAGTAATCTGTGTAAATCACTTCTAGAATATAAATCAAAAAACCCTACAAAATACTGGAACTTAATTAATAGCACATCAAGTAAGCCACTTAATGACATTCCAATCCCCCCAGAAGAACTTCTTGAATATTTTAAAAAATTATCTCTCCCCCCTAACTTAGAATATTTTGATAACGAAATTCAGGAATACATGATTTCATATGTAAATGATTACTCAATCCATACTCAAAACAAAAACAAAGAATATGATATATCAGATTCTATCTTAAATAAAAACATAGAAGTTACAGAAGTCATGAATGCCCTAAAAAAGATAAATTCCAATCGCTCAGCGGGTATTGATGGATACCCCTCAGACATAATAAAAAACTGTGAGTCTTTGGTAGTACCAATGACTACACTTTTCAACTATATCTTTAATAAAGGTGATTATCCTGAAAACTGGAGTATTGGTATGTTAAGCACCATTTACAAACAAGGAAGTCAATTTAATCCGGATAACTATAGAGGCATCAATGTGTTAGCTTGCATTGGCAATGTTTTTGACTCAGTGATTCATAATAGATTAGTCTTTAATGCTGAAACAATTAACTTACAAGATCCATTTCAAGGTGCCTATAAGAAAAATAGCAGGACCACAGACAATCTTTTTATTTTTCAAACAATAAAAAACAAATTTAAAAGACATAAGAAAATCCTTTATACATGTGTAATTGACTTCAAGAAAGCGTTTGACTATATTGATCGTGATGTTTTACTTTTTAAATTATGCAAATCAGGAATACGTCCCTCGAGTAAAATATTTACTATAATAAAAAGCATGTATTCAAAATCAAAAGCTTGTCTGAAATTTAGAGCTGGTATAACATCAACATTTAATACTGAGGTAGGAATTATGCAAGGTAGTGTGCTCAGTACTTATTTATTTAATCACTTCTTAGATGATCTGACTGAATTTCTACCAAATGACTGCGGTGTACAGATTCAGGATGAGATGATCAATCACTTTTTGTGGGCAGACGATTTGAAACTAATCTCAACCACTGCCGAGGGTCTTCAAAGACAACTTGATGCTTTATTTAATTTCTGCAAAAGTTATAGAATGATAGTTAATACAATAAAAACAAAAGTTCTCTTGTATAATACAAAGAAAATAGATACTTTCTTTCACTTCAATGGCCAAAAAATAGAATGTGTTTCTGAATATAAATATCTTGGGTGTATCCAAACTACCGATAATAAATCTGACAAAAATATTAAACATCTAATTGGTAAATCAAGAAAGGCAATTTTTAAAATAAAAAGCCAATATAAGAAATTTGGTGATGTACCAGTCAATGTAGCTTTACATCTTTTTGACACCCTAGTAACACCCATTCTTACATATGGGTGTGAGATATGGCAAACAGAAAAACATATAAATGATCTTGAAATGGTGCACTTGAGATTTATTAAATCAATTCTCGGAGTAAAAAGACAAACTGCCAGTCCAGCAATTTATGGAGACTTAGGCCGTTTTCCAATTTCTGTAAAATTTGAGACTGCATTAATAAAATACTGGATAAGAATCCTCCAACTCCCCCCAACAAATATACTCCATAAAGCATATTCCTATGAAAAGGAAATGCACGAATTAGGTTTTCAAACTTGGGCTACAAAAGTTTATGATATTTTATGTAAAACTAATATGACAAAACACTGGGAGGATCAAGATAATTTAGAAAATAAAGAAATGGTACCATTCAATGTTGAAAAAACCTTGAGGAGTAACTTTGTTGATAAATGGAAAACTGATATTAATCACAACTTCCCTATACTTCGCACATATAACACCTTTAAGAATGACTTTTCCTTGGATACTTATACAAAACTTGATAATAGAAAATATAGACAATCAATAGCCAGGTTTAGACTAAGCTCACACAAACTTCGAATTGAAACAGGCCGCTATTCTAAACCTAAACCTATTCCAATAAATGATAGACTTTGCCTAACTTGTAAATCTGTAGAAGATGAAAAACATTTTTTTATTAATTGTAAAAAACATGATGCACAAAGGAGTGTCCTTCTAGAAAAAATGAAAGAAATATTTGGACCCGATTTTCTAATCAATGAAACAAATTTTAGAATGCTATTGTCTTCGCAAAATATTACTGTTCAAAGGCATATTGGCAAATATGTTTACCATTCTTTCCAAAATTTAGAGTAGACTACAATTACTGTGCTACACTGCTAATATCTTCTTTTTATCTTTTATGCATCAAGTTTTATAGAAAGCCTGTAGCCTCATACTAATGATTATATGTTATATGTATAAAGTTTAGTTATAAATGTAGTCTAGCATTTAGTTAATAGTGTAGTATTGTCTTGTGTCAAGACAGCCTAGTTTGTACATAGACTAATGTGTCATGTTTTGATACAAAATGTCAATAAAAGAAATATATATATACATCGGGACAAGTCTTGTGATAATACTCGGTTGGAGTTTCATCTCCCTTATCCTATCTTTGTTGTAGATCTACAAAAGGGACAAGGGCAAAATAGCAGGATCGAAGAATAAATCAAGATATACATGGTCTTTTTTACATTGGTTTATTTTATTTTGGGTTAACTTACCTATAAATGTTTTCTGTCATGTGAATATCAAAATGCCATACTAGCAAATGAATTATTAGATCTTTTCTTAGCTATGCTGATGATAGCATCTGCCTTAAAGCCTTAAAAAGGGGTAGAAGTTATGGTTACCTGCTTGTAACTACAGTAATCCTTTGGTGTTAATGATATTGTATTCAGTCTATCAATTACAATTTTCGACAGGTAAAACATGATACAATTTGTGCAGCCTCATTCACTTGAACCATGGTTTAATTATTCAGCAGCTCATTTATAACTGTCCAAGGCTGAGCAATTTCTGCATTGAAACAGTCCCCACCTGCTATTCACCTGTAGTGTGTGTGTGTTTAGTGTCTGCTCTTGGCTCTATCAAGTTCAATGTTAAAAAATGGAATGTTGTTGTCAGTAAATAATTAATGTTACCCCAAGTCTACCACATGTCATTATTTATTGAATATCATTCTCTAAAGGAGAAAAGAGTGACAAAATCAAAAATATAGATGCCCTGGTCCACATTTGCTCACCCATTCATTCATGTATCCATCAGCCTGTCTCTGGTATGTCTCCATTTGTCAACACATTGTGGACTTACAGTATTTGTAATTCTAAAAGATAATTTAAATGGTTTCACTTTGAAAATGTGTTTATAAAGTCTTCAAATGTCCCATAAGTGGGGTTTCAAAACCTCTCTTTATTTCAAAATTCTAGCCATTTTATTGCCAAAAAATAGAGCCTACACCCCACCCTATTTACCCTATTGAGGTACAGCATGGCCAAATGTACAAGATCTTAATGTAAGACTGAAACACACAATGTCAAATTTCACAGAAATGTTAGACACTTGAATGAAGCAGATAGACTAGTTGCCTTGACTCTCCATATATTCAAGAGAAAACATATTAAAATAGCTGCATTACTAGGCTGATAAATTATCTACTCTCTCAGTTTACATCACTTGCCGGAAATATCTTGGAGAAAATATCAATATTTGTATTTCTGTGACCCTTCCCATATATTTTGAACAGATAGATTTCGATAACCTGCAGTGTCATTGGCAAGACTGATATGTTGTGTTGTATAATTAAACAAACATTTCATATATTGTATTTTCTAATGATCTATTAGAATTGATTGTTTAGATTCAGTCGAGGGGCTCCACTTATCAGGTATTTTGAGTAGCAATTACTTTCAAGTGGCTAGAGAGGCAAATCGGTTGTATAAGATTGCAACAGTACCAATGAAATATTTCAGGTATTAATGTGCAGGTTGGGTTTCAATTCATAGACATATCTGTTACTAATGTGGTAATTTTGTACTACTTAAAGCCCTTAGAATTGAGTTGATTTATATATATGTCTAAAGCATACTTTCTTAATTGTTAAGTAGGGTGGTGGTGTCTCACAGGGGTCTAAATCTGAAACATTTAATTAATCTTGAAATATAGATCTCGCAACCTACATATTCAGGTTCAGAACATGTTAGGTCATATATTTTTGCTGTGATGTAAGATGCAAATGTACATTGTAATTCGACTGATGGGCCAAATGGCATTATGACTTACCAGTTACCTGTTCCCCAAAGTATTTCATCAAACAATAAAAGTTCACATTAAAGCTTTTAATCAAGTTTGACAAAAGCAATAAAACCAGAGCAAAACACATTGCCAGGATTATGAAGCCATTTGTATTCCCACCTCTTTCTAAAATGATTGCTGATAATGCAGTCAACTTTATCTAATGGTTTCCTATTCAAGATTAGAAAAACTATTTCAGTGTGTTTCAAGGCAATTTTGTGCATTCCTATACTCAGTGGATTCTAGGAGTCATGTATTGATTTTCTCATCGTGGTAATGTTCAGTGATTATAGCCTCTTAGGAAGACTGAATTTATGCTTCTTTTATAATGTTAATTTTCTTCTGGTGATTATTTAGTGAAACACTTCAGAATGATGTTTGATCCTCTGATCTCTGCTAATATTAGTTCACCATTATGACAAGTTGAGCCATTGACATGATAACATAGTTGTTGATCTTTATTGAGAATGTATTCGTGCAAGATCAATGGGCTCTCGTCAGTTCAAGTTGGGTTTCCGCAACAGTAAAATATGAGGTTAACAGTAATGTATAAGATGGGGTTTATAGCAGTACAAGATGGGGCTTGGAATAGTATAAGATAGAGTTAGCAACAGTTTAAGATGGGGCTTATAACATTAAAAGAAGGGGTTTGCACAAGATGAGATTTGCAAAGAACAAGATGGAACTTGCAACTGGGCTTGCCTTAGTACAAGATGGGTTTGTAATTGTATAAGATGGGTTTGCTACTGTACAAGATAGTATTTCCAAGATAAGGTTTGCAGATATATAATATGGGGTTTGCAGCAGTTCATTGTGATGTTTAGACCCTCATCTTTTTGGGCCATGGGGTATTGCATCTCTTGCCAAAAGAACAATGTGTCATCACTACATGCTGGTAGCCATCACACTGCTGTATGAGGCAGGGCATTGAACACATTCACTTCTTGTGTGGTTTGCTGATCTTGCTTGCATGTGTTACCTAATATACTGTATGTGGAGAATCCAAATGATTAATGGCACATATATTGCATTTCAGCATTCTGTACACTTCTGTTCCAATGTCTGTTTGATTAAATATTCCAGTCTTGTATTTCTATCAATGTCATTTTGGTTCTCTATTGCAGAATTGATTAATTGATATGTCTGGGACCAAAGTCTGCTATGTGCTTCTGGTGCTTCCCTAAAATAAATCCTCTTGACAATTTTAACACTCAAACCTACTTAACATTTTCTCTGGGGCCCAGAGGTTAGAAATTCCAACCTTATGGATGAGACATATATATATGCTACAGTGTTTATGCTGACAGATCTTTTAATGAGCCAAAAGTAGCTGTTATGGCATTTCATAGGAGTTTGAATGCTAGCCTTGGTTCAAGACCCTGGACTATCTACTTTAACAAATGAATGCCAGGAACTTTTGAAGCCATAACATTTTAACAAAGGATTATGATTTATATTTAAGAATGTGGATGAAGCTCTCTTTTAATGTAGCAGAGTCGAACTATTGAAAATGATACTCCTTCTGTCTTATTGTAGATGCATTTATAAATAATACATACCTACTACAATTGTCTCCCATTCTAAAAATTTGAATGATGGGTACAGTTTTGCTATTTATGGTACAATACTGGGGATGGCAGTTTCAAGATAAATGATCTAATTACACCATGTAAAATGACCCAAGAGAATGTGAAATGCAAATGTTATTTTTGCTTTTTTTCTTAATGCTAGTCTCAATGTCAAAGTGACTTATCCATAATGTTCATTTAGATTAAAATACACGGGGCGTTCAATAAATATTGATAACCAATTTTGGGTACAGGGCATTACCAGCATTTTCTACGCCTCTTATGTTTTCAAGAATGATATGTTTATTATTATCATAGACATTGATTATTGATCAATAATGAACTTAAGAAAAAAATTATGAAGCACTGAAGAAAAGGAAAAATATTTCAGCCTGTATGGTATATAGAATGCTCTGGCCTGCACATGGAAAGGTACGAAGTGTTATATAAGAAAAATAGTAGTTTAACCTCTCTTGTTAAAAATTCCAGGTTAAAATAACTCAATTGTTACAACCAGGAGGTGACTCCATGTAAACTAAACATCCATCCATGTACATACTGTATACTGTAGTTTTAATAAGGTTAGATGGTTGCTATAGTAACTTGATAAACAGGATAAAATTTAGGGATAACCGTGGTGATTTATTAATTGGAGATATATGTGACATAGTTCCCTAAATATAATTGATGTCCATATCATGAAAATATCTTTAAAAAATATGTTTTTAAGATCCCGATATCTATATGTCTGTCAAGCAAAGAAAGTCGTTATTTTTAAGTTTAGGCATAAGTTTGAGCTCAGGTTGGAGAAACCATGCAGGGTCGATCGATTATCAGGAATAGCTCTGCTTGGTGAGGTTCAGACACATTGATATATTAATAGATCATGTTACTTCATTGAACCATACCAAAGAGAAAGAACTATAATTTTCTGATGATGTATTTTGTATTCATTTCGTCTTGTTTTCTTCCCTTTCCAATATTAATTTCACTTCTTTAAAAGAAAGCTTCATCTGTTTTTTGAATAAGGACATTTTAAATTCACTTCATTCTCACACCGGAATACCCTGACAATGGTAAAGTCCAACTGGCAATTTGCGTATTTTTCACACATTTGCTGGAAAATTTGAAATCACTGTAGTTTTTTTGCGTGACAGAATATGTCACGCAAATACGCATTTTATCTGATTATTGTCAAGCAAAAATATTTCTCTTGAAAAACTTCAAAAAAGTGATTGCCGATACAGCAAAAAACGAATGGCGAAAAAAAACGAACACATTTCATTCAGACTTTTCAGAGATGAGAACCAAGTGATTAAAGAGTTGAAATGACGGTTACATCTGCCATTTGTGACAACAGTATCTGACTTTACAATTGTCAGGGTGTTCCAGTTTGATTCTAGAGCTGATAAGGTTTTTGTCACGTCAGCTCAGCCATGTTGATCATTGTGAATATTTAAAGGAAATTCAGCACAAAAAGAGTTTTCATTGTAGAAGCCCAAGTACCAAAGTAGAACAGGCTAATCAAAATCTAGCTGCACAATCAAAATTGCAATCACATAATTTTGTGGCTGCCTCAGTATCTATGTCTGTCCTGATATTTATCAGATACACAAGAATTCCATTTGAGACAGTGACATTTGGGGTCAATAAGATCTCACAGCATTAAAATTATAGATGTCTTATTTGTCTTATTGAGCATAGTTAATAGATTCTAGACCTCATGTTCAATATTTAGTAAGATGTAACTGTTTAGGACCAAAAAGTATCAGATCTTTTCAGATTAAACTTTAATGTCCAATATTCTGAGAACAACCATACTGATATGTTTTTTCCTCACTTTTTTAAAAACATTTTTCAATAACTAAGACACAGATTTAGAATCAATACAAAAAGTTGATTTTCATTTTCAGAATATTTTCTCTGGAAAAGGCTGTGTTCTCTCAAGTGTATGTGCCACGTGGTCACTCCTATTCTAGATACAACTAAATATCTGATAGCGTAACCCCTAATTTGATATTACATTTGTGGCCATAGAGTATCTAGATTAATTTTATTACACAACCTCTTATTCTTAAAACACTGCAGACAGCATATAATGGAACACAAGTCTGTTTTCTGATTGAAATATTAGCTCGGATTCTAAAATGATCTCTGTTGTATATTTGCAGATTCCAGTAACAGTTACCATAGCAACTGAGACAGTTGCTTTATCCAACAAATTGGTCACATTTCTGCTGAGCTAATGATGGGAGCTTCTTATGAGGAAGAATCTGTCGATATTGGAGTCACCAAGTGCTAAGTTGATAGAAAAATACCAATTTAGGACAACTTGTTGGGATAACAATTGAGTGACGTGTCCGGTCTAGCATATTAACTCTTTCATTTCTATTGGTATTCATCCTTTGACACTTGAACCTAATTGGCAGCATTGAGACCAATACCATTTGACAAGTTAAAATCATATGCATGCGAATGCGTGGATTAATCTCAGCGGATTATATGGAAAGTGGAATATAGTGTGGAATGTAATACCGTATGTAAATCTGACTTTGGGCTACATCGATGCAGTATGCATTATTTATCCCATAGACATTTTTCTCTCACGAAAATACCCACCAGGGGGTGATTATCAACATCAAAGGAGATTTCTCAAATCCTGATACATTGGCACCTACTGGATATATCACCAATATGTCCTAGAAGTGAAATTACTGAGAAGCCACATCTAAGATAATCTGGGAAATGAACATCGGTGCAGTCTTTTGGAAACATATCCGACTTATAAAGAAGAGAACTAATTATTAGGTACATGGATTGAGATTTATTATAAACGAGCTTTAATATATGTCATCAATCATCCGGTATCATAATAAAACCAGGAAAAGTTAATGACGCTACTACAGGATGAACTGTAGGACAAATGAAATGTTTACAATTCGTGATTGATATTGTAATTAGACTTGAATCCCCAGTGTGTGTGCTCACTGAAGCCTAGTAGCTTTGTTGAATGTATCGCAATGTGGACTATATACAGATTTCTTGCCATGTATGGAATGGTACTATATCATACACTACTATGGGGTTTACTCTTGCAGTTTTACCCTACCACAGGTCTCCAGAGACAGTTGGATCTATATGATCATTGGAGCTTGACTAATGGGTTTCACAGCCCTTCACATAGCAGAAAAAATCATGATTATAAATCAACTAAAAATAAAAGAGTTATCCATGAGTCCCATTTCATGAGGATAAATAAGATTAAGTATCCTAACTTAAGTGATTTATCTAACTTAGTGTCAAAACGCATTAGGCCAATGAGAAATAGTAATTTACAAGAGTTAACATTGGAAGTGCCAAAAGAAAATGAGATTCAAGTCAGTGATGCTTTAATGGATCTTAATCTTGTTTCCAATAGTCTTTTATTACGTCTTTATAACCAAAATAGACAAACTAAACCAAATAGGCGGAAAAGGCAAGCAATGGACTATGATAATGTAAACAGAATGTCTCCATCATTGGAAGACATTGTAAAGGGGACTTCTAGTACAGAATCATCTGAGAATCTAGTTACATCTGATGGTGCTGAGAGTAATGGCAAATTGACCATCTCAACAATTGACACATATCAGACAATTGACACTGAAAACTCCAATGGTGTTACAGGGAACATTCATGGTGCTTCTAAGACTATATATCATACTTTAAATCATGATTCAGATGTTAACACTGGCACTGCAGCTGAATTGTCTGACACTGCAGCTGAAATGTCTGACATGACAGTTGAAATGCCTGACACTATAGCTGAAATACCTGACACTACAGCTGAAATGCCTGACATGACAGTTGGAATGCTTGACACTATAGCTGAAATACCTGACACTACAGCTGAAATGCCTGACATGACAGTTGAAATGCCTGACACTACAGCTGACATGTCTGCCACTACAGCTGAAATGTCTGAAACTACAACTGAAATGCCTGACACAACAGCTGAAATACCTGACACTACAGCTGAAATGCCTGACATAACAGTTGAAATGTCTGACACACCAGTTGAAATATCTGACACTACAGCTGAAATGCCTGATACTACAGCTGAAATGTCTAACATCGCAACTGAAATGCCTGACATGACAGTTGAAATGCCTTACACTACAGCTGAAATTTCCGACTCTGCAGCTGCAATGCCTGACACAACAGCTGCAAATGTTGACACTTCAGCTGAAATGACCAACAAAACAACTGATTTGTCTGACTCTACAGCTGCCATACCTGACACAACAGCTGAAATGCCTGACACAACAGCTGATATATCTGGTTTATATAATTCAATAGCTGCAATACCTTACATAACATCTGCAATATCTGACATTACAGCTGAAATGCCTGAACCTACAACTGGTATTTCTAAATCTTTAGATATGTCTCTCTCTACAACTCAAATGTCTCATAACTTCCCAGTAACTGATAACACAGCAGTAATAACTGAGGAACCAGATGACTCAACTGATATTTCTGCCTCCTCAATCCAAAATATCTCTAGTCAAACTACTAAAGAACAATCAAATATAACAGACACAATGATAAGTACAGGTCTTAGGACTCTAGATGTAACAACAGTGCAATATACAAACAGTGAACCTACTTCATCCATTGAACAAAGTCCAACAACTTCACCTGAAACAGAGATCACTATTGATGATATGTCTTTGACAACCAGAAACTCTGGAGTCAAAGGGGATGAAATAACAGAAATGACATCCAACAGTCCAAGTACAGTTGAACTTGAAATTACCTATAATTCTACAACACATTTTGCACAAAATGATGATGCTACTACAGATGAATCTATGCTTCAAGAAACTGCTATGATGACAGAGGTCCCTCTTGAAACTTCTAAATCTAGATTTACAACCGTTGCTTCATCAAGAGAAACACGACATGTGAACCAATCTAATAGTTCACCAACTATGGTCCCAAATACTCCCCTGACACCCACAGAAAGCATCGTCACTGTGACTGATGATGGGAAATTGGTTTCCATTGAAACTGTGAATAATACAAGTGCTGCCATCTTTGAATCAATCTCAACTTTAGATCCATCAATGAACTCCTCTGAGGAAATGACTTCTCCCTCTAATCCTACTAATATTGATGAATTATCAACAATTATCAGTGAACCGCAAACCCTTGAATCATTCGTCACAATTCCCTTGGCTGATATGAAAACAGTGAGTCATAATTATAAAACAACTACATCCCCACAGGAATCTCAAACCACAACTGATTTAGAAGCTACTTTAAGTGTAACTGATGGAATTATTAAATCTGACACAACTTTTGAAAGTTCAACAGTAGGTATTGATACAGAAAATGTTACTGTTAAGTCTGCCTTGGAACCAGTCCCTACTGTTAAATCTACAAATGAACAATCCTCTACTCCTGTTTCCACAAGTGCCCAAGTTATTATTCACGACTCAACAAGTAATTCAACCTTTACTCCTGAACTGACCAGTGAACCAGGACCTAGTCCAGTTCTCACAAGTGAAACAGCTCCACCTCTGGAACCCACAAGTGAGCCATCCCCTGAGCCTACAAGAGAACCAACCACCATTCACAAGGCTTCAAGTGAACGCATACCTACTTTTGAGCTTACAAGTGAGCCGGTCCCTGAGCCAACAAGTCAAGCAACTCGTACTTTTAAGTCAACAAGTGAATCGGTTTCTACTCCCAAGCCTACGAGAAAACAATCCCCTACTCCTATGTTGACAAGTGGAACAGTCTCTACTCCCACGCCTTCAAGAGAACAAGCCCCTACACTTGAGCCCACAAGTGAACCAGCCCCTGACCCTCCAAGTAAACCAACAACTACCCCCAAGCCTTCAAGTGAACCAGCCCCTGACCCTCCAAGTAAACCAACAACTACCCCCAAGCCTTCAAGTGAACCAGTCTATACAACCAAGATGAAATCTGAACCCACAAGTGAGCCAGAGAGCAGTAGCTGGCCAGACATATCAGACAGCATCCCTGAGCCTGAAATGAGGCCAACTCTCCCTCCATATGCAGAACCAGAACCAGACTGGTCTATAGCCAAGCCCATTCTGCAAGAAGCATGGGAAGTCCATGTGTACCTAGTTGGTGTATTATTTGCTCTCCTTGCTTTATACTCACTGGTCAGTATCATCAGACTGTACAACAACAAACATCTACTCAGTCAAGGCTATTTCATTGCTCTCAATGCTCTTATGTTCATAATGGGCAGTTTCAGGGCAGTATATTTCCTAGTGGATGCCTACAACTCTAATCGAACATTCCCCATCTGGCTGTCATACTTCATGTATGGTATAGGACTCCCTTGTCTTACATCAGCCTTCAGTGTGCTCTTCCTAGCACTGTTACAAACTACTAAGATGCAACTCCTTTCCCCACGCATACAAAAACTCAGTTGTCTTATCCTCATTATTGCTCTCCATTTTATCCTGCACATCGTGGCAGATGTCCTCATAGCATTCTTCTTTGACAGCAAGATTATTGTTCTCATATGTCAGATCTTCTTCTGCATGTGGGGGCTGATTCTATTTGGAGGTTATTTCTATATATTCAGAAAGTTGTATAAATCTGCCGTAAAGAGACAAAAAACAATGATGGCCTCTAGTGTGAGTCTCATGAAATATAAACTACAAGATGTGATACCGATTAGGAAACCACATAAGTTAACTTTAGGAATTGCAGTGAAGATAACATTCGTAACAGCCATATTTGGACTGATTTGTGCCATTTTACAGATCTATGCGATGGCTGGAGTGTACAGTGTGTTCAGTCAGGAGATACCTCAACCATGGCCCTGGTGGGGCTTCCAGTTTGCACAGCGTCTTACCGAGCTAGCAATGTGTTTCACCATGAGCTATGTTGCAACACAACCATTTCGTTACAACAAACCCAAACAGCGCAGCTCCTGTAAAATGTTTGATTCCTACTTTTTCGCTCCATGTTGTCGAATCTGTCGCGGGGACTCCTATGATATTAATGAGGACTTAGACCTCGGCTGGGATGCTCTCACAGGATCAATGCACGATTCAATTTATAAAAAAGACATTGCACAGTTCAGTTTGGAAGAAGTTCATCCACTACATACTGGCGCTAATGGTCATAAAGATAATGTGACCAATGGAAATGCTCAAAAATATTCAACGTTGCAGTCATCTAGTTCAGGAAGTACCACCAGACCACCTTCATCTATGTTGGTGATTGAGGATGGACGTATACGATTCCGTCTTGAGAATGAGATTGAGGAAAGCATTCCTGATTTGTCATCTGGAGAGGAGGAAACTAGTGGCTCCCACTATTGGCGGGAAAGTTCAGCACAGCCATCAGATAATTCAAACACTAGTTTATTAAAACACAAAGTGCAAGATTTTAATTCTGGAATGGCGAATGGAGCACACTCGCCTTCGACATTAAGTCATAAATCCCCTACACCAAGTTTTAAATTCAATGGTACATCACTGACTGAATCTAGTGACTCTGACTTCAGACCACCTTCCCCACTGAACCTCAACATCAGTATAGAGAATGCACTACATAGGGTCCTAATGGGTCAAACAGGAACCAGTCCCCCTAAGTCACACAATGGACTATCACACCCTGGCTCTGTGAAATCGCTACAGGGAAATTACAAAACATGTTCAGTGAATGGCAGTAGTGAGGAAGACTTGCCAAAATCAGTAGAGCTACCAAGGAAATTCAAACCTAAATTGATTATGAAAGTTCATTCGAGTAATAATGTAGATGCTCAATTTTAGATGCCTCAATAATTGTATGCATAGCAGTATATGTATTTGATAAAAGATATAGTTGTCAGATTGTTGTTATTTATTATTAGAGTGTCTGTCCATTGTACAACTGTGTTTTTTATTTATTTCATACATTTGATAAAAACTGGTGCATGTATTGCATTTGTAAACAACTAAGTATTTCATTGAGCATTGTAACATGTGTACCTTAGACTCTTATGGTCCATGTTCAAATGTAACATCTACCAGCCTGAAACTGTATTCAATCAATGACTTTTATAGAATATATTATGAGGTTATATAATGGCTCTTTCTGTATATCGTGTTTATACTCGAGTATATGGTATATTCACAAGTGAGCGTAGCGAACGAGTGAATATATTATATTCTCACGAGAGTATAAAATGCACGATATACAGAATGAACCGTTATATAATCTTATTATGCCACTCTAAGTTCAATTACAGTTGATTCGAACACAATCATAACAATTAAAAACCATAAAAATATCCCATAGCCAACTCAATAATGCTGATTTTGATCTCGAACCATTTATGACGTGGCTTGATTCTAGCAAATCATGAACATTTTCATGATTTTTTTATTCATTAGTTCCCAGAATGCACTTCTACAGTGGTATACGCTGGAGTGTATACGGAGGAGTTGTATACGATGACGATATACCACTCTCCACTGTATATCGTTGATATAGACCCATGTAATACAACTGTAATTGGACTTAGAGTGGTATAATATAATGTACATGAACTTCAGTTTTGTGCTGGAAAATGATAGAATTGATCATACTGTGTAATATTTTGATGTTAGATTGTAATGTAATGTGATTGAACATTGTCGCTGATATTAAATATAGAATCACAGTGGTAACAAAATTACAAACAATGTGAAACATTTTCAACCAACGTGTCCTTTATCTGGTTCTCAAAAATCCATGATATCTTTCAGATTAACATGCAGAAATGTGCTAGTTCAATAACAAGGACAGCATTGGTTCTCAACATTTATTTTTTTCACAAAACCCAAAAATGAATATTAAGACTAAAATGACAGAAAGGTACCCCTCAGAAATATTAATAACTCAGTCATCCAGCATGGGTTTTATGGGATATTAAGCGCAATTGAACCTTGTTCTTTCATTTCATTGGTCAATTTCAAATGGTCACAATCTTATGGCCATTTTACAAAATAAACTCCAAATGCCGGAACATGCCAGAATCACCTAATATGAACTCCAAGAATATTATCATTCGAGTTATTTCAAAGATAATGTCTACACTAATAATCCCAGAAGCATCAAAGAGTTGAAACAAGGGATAAGAAGGAAAACTAGAGTAAATACACAAAATATGTGTTGCATTTTGAGCATGTTTTGTAAAATGGCCATAAAATCATGACTATTTGGTGTGGACCAATGAAACTTAGTAGAATGAAAGAACATTGAACAAGGTTTATATGTAAAATATGAGCTTCAAGCCATGCTAACTGACTGAGTTATAAACATTTCTTTCGGATACCTTTTTGGCTCGCCCTGTAGCACAGACATACATCACAGTGGTATCATTAGATCTTTTGAGAGTCCCCAAGATGTTATGGCCAAGGCAGGATATAAATGCAGTGAACAGTAAAGCTTTAGAATACATGTTGTGTTGCATCAATGAGTTCTCAATGTTTTTTCATTGTCAGGATTTATATGTCTCTGATCTTAGAAACCTCTTTTACAATAAAAGTATAATTCTTTTGAGTAACAAAGAATAAATAAACAATGATGTTTGTTTTTATTAATTGAATATCTTCAAGTATGTACAGGTAGATCTAGAAGAAATATTAAAGATTTCCATTTCAATGCAATCAGCCTGAAACTTGTGATGTTTCCCACATACTTATATGTTAATATTGTAATACTAAGGATGAAGCTATCGGATTGATGGGTATCATGTTTGCTTTAGAAACCAACAAATATGAAATCACATTTGGTTACCATAGCAACCATGATTCCGTCCAATCAAAAAGTTGAATCATTAATCTTGATTTACTGATGCAGTAATGTTTAGAGAACACCTCTTCACCTGATCAAGACCTCAATGGTACCAGTGGGAGTTTCATAAATTGGTCAAGTTGCTAACGGAAACAAATGGATGATTAAAATTAATGGACGCTCCAAATTTAAAAAAAACAACAATATGAATCAACTCTGTTTTTATAGCATAGTTTCTTAACATAGAGTAAAGCTATTATATCCATACATATTTGAGCCAGGCCACAGGAAAAGGGGCCTTATCACAGATTTTTTCAATATTCTGATTTTTTGTTTATCTTAAAAAGCACAAAGAGACCTTTCAAATGAGCCATGGCTTATAACTATTTTTCCTTGCATATATAGACCAAAAGGTCGGATTTGAATTTAGCACATTTTCCTCTTAATCTTGGGCACATTTTTGGCTCAGTAGAACAATTCTAATTTTTGTGATAAGACCGGTTATCCTATGGCCAGGCTCATTTATTCAACAATTAATTTCATGTGCATACACAGTAGTAACAAATTGGCACATCACAGTCTCTTCTTATGAACACGATACATTGTGAATATCAGACAAAGCAAAATGTAACCAAGTGTAACCATTTGTTAAAAGACACCTTAATGCCAAACAACACTGGTCACAAAAATGGTAACAGAGAAATGTATGGACTCACTCTTTCACAGACTGTCTCTGACTAGGCCTACAGTGTGTATATGGATACAAGGATGACAGAAAAGTTTTTGTATTGATAGAAAGATGGCAGATTAAGTCATCACAAAGAAGCCATTTTTGTGAGTGGCCCTTGACATCAGCATTTTGCAACTACAAAAATAGTAACAATTTTAGAATTGTAACTTAATTATGCTTCATGCTCATGCATAAAATGGATGTCAACATCTTCGTTTTACATAAAAATTAGAAACATTTCGATCCTGTGTTTTGGTGAACTTAGGCAGTTCCTCCATTTTGTTACTTTGATGTTACATCTAAGTGACTGATTAGGGAACAGTGAAGTTGCAACAGAAACATTACTTAGTAGAATTCCTTGGATCCATCCAAATTGTATATTTATTCAAACTAAAAACTCATTTTTGAAGTTTGATTACAACCATTCATAAGCTTTGTTGTTGGGTTTAGGTGATCCTCTAGGGCCTATGCAGGCTTCAATATTGCAATTTAATACTGATAAGATATTGATGACAAATCTCAGTTGTAGATTTCATTGTATTTTATAAATTCACTTTATGTTACACTACATATAACATATCGAACTCCCGTGCAGTGATATATCACTGCGGCGGGCAGGTGTCTCACCGTAAGCATGGTAACATCGTAATAAACAACTGACGTGATTGGTTCTAGTCCCATGCTCAGGTCGCGTGATTGTAAAATTTAGACAATTTCATTGGTTGAATTGCGCGTATTAACTAATAAACAACACGTGCGGTAAACTTTTATCAACACAACTTTTACTCAGAATTCCTTCCACGGGGATTTGCTCTTATATTTCATTGATTTTGGAATATTTTGACAAAATAATTATTGGTGAACATAAAAGAACATATATTTTATAAGTTGTGTGCAAAACAAGTACATCTGTGACAAAAAGGGGGACTATCTTCCCCAAATTTTGGGGATTCCATAATCTGCCCGCCGCAGTGTCTATACCGAGACACTGCATAGGAGTTCGATAACATATTATTATATTTTTGAATTACACAATATATGATCATCAATATAAATGCATTTTCTTTTTCATAAAGTTTTAATGATTGAAATGACCATAACTGTTATCCAGATTCAGATAACACTTCTATCATGAGCAAAATCTGTCCAGTTTATATTTAATGTTTTCACAAATACACTTTATATCACAATCATATATTGTAAAGTTAAGTTAAATTACAATTTCAATATCAACATCTTAATATCTTCGATCTCACTAAAATTAAAATATGATTCACACATAGCTATGCACTATGTCCAATTCCAGCCAATCAGAACACACTATTTCATGTAACTGCATTCCGTTATACAGGATGTGCCAAAAAATTTTGCAACTGGTTTAGAAGGCTAGAAAAGTATCCTAACATTATGGTATTGCCATAAAAAATTTACAGAAACTTAAGGATAGGCATATTTTACAATTCAAATACTTAAGCTAATACTGACTTCAATTTTTTTAATCAGATGTTTGAATATTAAGGCTAAATTGTTCATGTGTCCGAGATTTACCATTTTTCCTAGAAAACGCAACTTTTTATCATTTTATGTGATCAACAACAACACATTCATTGTGTTCACTAAATGTCAATACCATAATGTAACGATACTTTTCTTGCTTTCTAAAAAGTTGCAAAATTGTTTGGCAGACCCTGTATAACCAATAGTAAACTCAAGGTCACTAGTGAAATGAAATGATTGCCATGGTGACTACTGCACTCAACAGATTGAAATTGATACTTCGTCAGCTTGACCATTGCAAGAGGTTTCATTTAAAATATATTCTTCTAGTGATTTCGTATCTTTTGGATGATTTTGTAGATATAATAATATATAGCAAGGTGTGAAAAAAATTTAAGCCCAATACTCAATGCATTGTGAAATGACCATTCCTTTCAGATGCTCCGCATCTCGAGCAAATTGTGGAAAGCAACGCCTTCAAGAAATGGTCATTCCACATATCCTTAAATATATTGAATTCATAAAGGTCAAACAAAATTAAAAAACTTCCATGAAAAAAAGAATTAAATCTATTGATGGCAAGAGGGTGAGACTCAGCATGACTTATCAGGGTGCTACTGTATCTCATCATATTAAATATTATTTATGTGGATCATAATCACCCATTACAGGCTCTCTCCAACCCAAAGATTGTGAAAGTGTTCAATGGTAATTATTACACTGTTTACAGACCTGAGACTTCATACAGCTGTGCAGTATTGGTGATCAAGATCAGTATATCAATACAAATTATTTTTGCATCTTGAAAGTTGTAATTATATAGTTTCTGTGTAATGCTATGACTCGTCCATGCTTTTGAATGCTATATCCTTACAATGACTGGAGCAGAATTGAACAAGCATATGTCTTAAATCTTCATCAGCACTTTTTATTGCACAATTACTATTACAATTATAAAATAATCCATCCAGGATTTTAGAATCATATTCATAGGCTATTTTTCACGTTCTCTTACCAAAGCATCTCATATAAACATTCACTTTTAAATCAGTATATTCATCTCAGTTATTCATATGCTCCAAAATTACAATCATTCACTCAGTTAAATGCTGGTTATTGCTGCATATTGAATCCTTCTCATAGGTGAATATTATTCCAACAATAGTAGGATAGGTCCTTCCCATTTATAGGTATGTCATTCACCCGCAGTCCTTTGTTCATTATGGCTTAAAAGGACCAAAAGACATCAATCGTGTAAATATTTTAAAATGTTTACATGTAAATATTTGTGCACAGTAAGCCAAATAAATGAATGCGTGTGGTTGTAGTATCCAGTATCCAGTGTTGTAGTGGCCAAGAGGCATATACATGTAGTACTCAATGAAGCAAATTCAAACTACTGTACTGAACAAGTTGACTAGTAAGTTGTTCATCAGATTGAAGAGTTCCATTTTCATCAACTCTTCTTTCCAGTTGTCTTCTCTTCTTTCATTATCTTAGTCTCAAATATATCAAGCAACCTGTTAATTTCTTTTCTGGCAAACTGTCAAGGAATCAAAACAAAGAAGGCGTTTTTGAATGTAGCACAATTCATTAATTATTAAACATGAGTTTACCTTGGAAGGACCTTGTCCCATTTCAATGAAGGTGAAGATAATACAAAATACAAAGTTCTTTGTAGACACATTGTGTCACATTTGAATGTGATTTTGGCCATCCATGACCTAAACACTTTTAAGTAAACAATACTGATTTAAGCATCTATAAGCCTGTGACCTTGAAGAGACCTTCAACTTTGGAACCTATTCATTATATGTCAGAGCTCTCACCAAGTCACCATCCTAAACTTTGTAAGCTCAGTAGGCGATAGGCCATAGGGAAAAATTGTCAGGTTGTCGATCCTGAGAAATGATTGTATTTTTGATAAAGGATACATTTGATCTGCAATTTTGTATATTGGTGTCATTGTATAGCTAAGTTCCTCACATTTGGCCATAAGAGCATACATGGACTGAAACAAAATCAAAATAAACATACTGTTGTATAATAATTCATGCAACAATAACGTGTATGGTTGGCATATATACTAAACATTTATCATTAAAGAGAATCAAAACTAAACTCGGAGTCAGAATCTTTGATTCGCTATACAGCTGATAACTTTTTGGGGAGATCATTGAAAAAATTAAAGTATCATTCACCCAGCAGAACAAAATGTTTGCACAAGAAATAATGAAACATCCCCTTCCCAATTATTTATACCTTTATACTCGCATCCACTGAGTCACATGTATGGTCCACAGAATCTCTGTAAAGCTCAAGGCAAGTTGCAGATATGGCAGACATCTAAATCAAAGAATATAATCACATTGTAAAGAAAACATAAAAATGGTTTACTGGCACCAATTAAGAACTTATCAACATTTCAAGACCATGACAAATAATTGTGTTTTGATAAGCTTGGTAAAGTGCAATATTCAAACACAAAAATGTACATTTATTCAAAATGAAGTTCAATCTAAATCCTCCTAGAAAACCCACCTTGTGTAGATTTGATTTAAGATTACCCATCATTAAATCAAGATTCCCTGCAACCTTTCTGGCATGTAATTCAAGGTCAAGGACAACCCTGGGGTCAATGGGTGGCATATCCTCAGGACTTTGGGCAAAAAGACTGCTTGGTGATTGTGACATTGTGGAATAGGTAGAGGTGGACATTGAGCCATTGCTTGACAGACTACGTAGGCTTGATGTTCTGCTAACTCTATGGCTGCTCATTGGAGTGTGACTAGCACTTGAATCTGGTGTACCTGAAATGAGGCCATGGAGTTTTGTATGTTAAATGTTTTTCTTTAAAAATTTATGATAAATATTCATTATCAAAATGATTGCCTATTAATAATAATCATAATACTAACTTTTTACAGAAAGAGGACTGCTAAGTCGAATCATTTCTTGTAAGTCTTGTGCAACATAGGATACCATTTCCCCATCCTTCACCAATGTACCAGGAAAGGGAGTACGCTTTGCAGCTTCTATTGAGTCTTCCTCCCATAATGGTAAATTGAGGTCATCACTCTCTGCCTCAGATCGATCCTCCCTTAAACGTTCATAGCTCTGTAGAGGCCTTGGTAGAGTCAATGAATCTGGTCTTGGAAGGCCCCCATTTGGAATGTAATCACTTCCACTAGAAAAATGTCCATCACTACTACTACTTGCATTGCTAATATCTGTACTATTACTTGAACTATTCCGTATACTGGAGCTAGTCAAGCTTTCTTGATCATCTGATGTTATAGCGTAATCTCCAAGATGAGCACCAATTGGCATACTCAAATCAACTCCTTGTAATCCCTTTGCATTAAATTCTTCAATCTTTTCAGTAACACTATCCTTATTTGTTTCATATTGCACATAGTTAATATCACCGGTTTCTTCATTGTCTAATAATTTGGCTGAGTCCGATGAATCATGCCAATGTTTTGAGATATCAACATTAACCTTAGGAGTTGTTGCACTATTGCTATCAGATTCACTTGTTCCAACTGTTGCACCATCATGTGTAGCTGAAACAGAGTTGTTTCGAGAAGAAACAGAGTCACAATTTGTCAAAGTGTGAGTCGTCTCCGATTTCTGAAGTAATGTGTCACTCGCACTTTCATTACTAAAGACTTCATCAGAATCGACTTGAAAATGAGTTGATTTTATTGTTTCAGTATCATCATGTGATGATCTTTCTTTTGGAAAAGGTTCAGATTTTTTTTCATGTTCAACAAAACTGTGTTCGTCTTTAGAAGCCATTTTCGACAAGACAAAAAAGGATTTGGACCCGTTGAGATTACATATTGATTCTCTGTATAATCCTTCAATATATGGTAGCAAATAGACTATACTTTCGAACAAATTTGGCTGTTATCCTCCAAATTGTCTAAAATAAATTCAGGAAATATTTTGACATTTCTCCAGTCTGTTTGCGCATGCGCGAAAATGTGGAATAATATGGATAATTTTTAATGAATAATATATTTAATATCTTCAATTTCAAAATTAACACATTTTTAATATTCTATATATATACATTTTGTAGTATTTGTGATTTTATTTTTAAAAGTAAAAAAATATTATGAATATATATTGAAATAATATCAATATTTCGTTTTCATTAATTGTTTGACATATAGGGGCTAAATTTGGAAAAGTCAATTTATCATTTTATTTACTTTGTTTATGCTGTTTCACCTTCTAATATCATATTTTATAGGGTTTCTCGTACATAAATTGAATAGGGAGTATCTTATCAATGTTTAAGCAAGTTTTAGAATTGATTGGACGTGTATACTCCATGAAAATGGTGGTTTCATTTGAGATTTGGAATTTCCGCCAAATGACGTTCGCACCTCTTCAGCCAATCGAAAATACGATCGATGTCACGAGGGCAGGAGGGCATAACTTCATTCCAAGCATTCCAAGCTTGAATCGCAGACTTTATGAACCCTATTGTCTATGGAATTTATCGAATTTCTACATAATAACTTGGTTGGATAGACATGCTACTTTCACCATGAGCTGAAGGTGAGTTCTAACAAGATTTATGGACACATTCTAGAGAAGGTTTATTGGTTTTCATTGATATTTTAACAATTTTCCTGACCTGGTTGTTGTTTATTTTGTGAATGGAATGTGAATGAATGTTCAAACATATTTGTTTTTCTAGTTTTCACGGAACTACACAACAAAGCAGAGTTTTGCGAAGAAAAATTGACTTTATTGTACAAATCAGAGTGCGAGATGATGGAGACTCCATTAGATGTTCTGTCACGTGCTGCATCACTTGTACGATCTGACGACAACATAAGAAGTAAGTAAAGAGTATATCTAAGTAAATTATATAAAATGTTTTCACAGTAGATCTGCCTGCATCTCAAATTTGCTTGCTTGAAAATCTGAATGTTTTGCTTATAAAATGATAATAATTATTAGACAAATTGGGATCATTTCAGGGAAAGCCCATGGGATTGTGTTGTAAAAATCCATTAATGGATCACGTATTATCATGACTACTAAATAGTATTCCCTGAATTTCATTTCAAATAATTTCTAAAATTTATTTTGCATTAGCTCTTTTGCCAGTTGATCCATGGGCTTTCAACTAATTGAAAGCCCGTGGTTGATCAAATAAGAAAAACTACATCATGATAAACTTGGATCATTGTTTTTCTGAACCAGCTCTGAATCCATTTATCCATAGTCTTGCATCAAGTCTCAGGACTCCCTGCTTTCTATCTCAACTCTGGAGTTAGATGTGAGATATGTTGGGGGATGCCATAAAGATTTGAAGCAAGACTACTTACTGGTAGATCCATTCATACATGTAGTCTCATTGCATTTGGAGATGGCTGGCCAGGTATTCAGGTGGCTTCTCTTACACGATCCAAACTGATAAACTGATTCTGAGATATATTTTTTTGTCATGGGTAGTCTTTGAAATGAAGATGGGGGAGGGGCAAAAATTGAATTATTAAAAATGAAAATATGTGCTTGTGCGAAAAAACTTTTTTAACATTTTTTAGAATAAAAATCGGGTCCCCAAAATGAAATTTGAGGCCTAATAATTGTGCTCTCAAAATAAAGCCCAGTAATAGCATTGTGTTTGTTGGGTATCAATTTATTTTGGGCTTATCTTTGGGCCTATACTCCAATGTCTCAGCTGACGTTTTATTGAATTAAAAGGGCTAAAAATTAATTTTACAAAAGAAGCCTTCAGGATTTTGTTAAACTATTCAAGACATTAAGAAGCCTTCGGGATTTTGTTAAACTATTCAAGACATTTCCTACAGTATTATTAGTATAATTTACAGTGTTTTCCACAGGATTTTTTTCTCAAGTAGATGCAAAATTCTCATTTTCACAATTCAGACCAGAATTGGTCAAAATGTGAACATTTTTCATGCTTTTTCTCATTTTCAAGTGGGTGCAAATAGATTTTCAGGTGGGCGCAAACCTGTTTTTAAAATCTCAGGTGGGTGCAGCGCCCAGTTGCTTTAATGCTGGGGAGATCACTGGTTTAGTTATATATAAATTCACATTGTCATTTAATTTCTAATAACATTTGTTTACCCGTCTACTCACACTCCTCCTAAATAAAGTTTCAATTCAAATTATTTATAAAAAAGAACTACTTATTAAATGAATAAACAAGAGTAAACTAAAATCTCAAATTCAAGAACCCTGACCTGGAATGTAACCGAATGATGCCATCTCCACTTTGCTAAAATAATAACAGTTTGTTTTTCAACATTAATACTGATCTCAAAATAATTGGAATTCCTTCTGATTCAAAAAAGCTAATATAGGCATACTTGACCTTTTATAAAGGCACTGGATAAATCTCTATAGATAAAGTAGGTCCATAAGGTCAAATATTTCAGTAAGCGCTCCTTGGAATTCTGTTTGCTGATTTGTTGGTTTTAGTCATGTTATATCTGATAGGCACTATGGGTAAATCATCTTCTAAAATTATTGAGTTGCCACTACACAATCAGAACTCTTAGGTTACATATGTTTTTAAGAAAATATAAAAAACCTATCTATTATTTAGTGAAAGCATTTTATTCTAAAAAATGTGTCACACAATATTATGAATAACTTTTAAGTGATTTAAAAACAACAATTTTAACCCTCGTGTCTATTGATTTCTATAGACACAATAAAAACTTACAAATGATTGATGTCATTTTGTAAAGATGTCAGCACCATTAGTTCAGCCTGTTGAGCCATAGTAAGAGCTCTGTCAATGGCTCAACTAAACTTTCCTTTCTCTCGGCATAATAAAGCCAGGAATTCCCTCGTCTGGCTGAGCTACTTGAGAAGAATGACTAACCTTGACATATGGAATGTATATAATTTGCAACTAAAATGTTGAAAATCTTGGTTTCTTCTCCCCTTGAAATGTTCAGCTTACTTGGTGAATCTAGTGAGTCTATTATTTCACTTACCTCTAAATACAATTATGCGATTCATCACATATCATTATGAGATGAAATTGGTACACTTTAAACCATGATATCATGTTATTTATATATATTTATATATTATATTATATATTATTATGATGATGAATCATTTTATCAATCTTAAACCTGCACATTTCTTTAAAACACAATATGTGAACATATATTATTTTTACATTTTCATGTACCAACAAGATTATTAAAGCTCTAATATAAAGTTGGGGTGGTTATAAACTGTTTTGTCTGCATAGTAATATCAAAGCACAACCATTTAGTTAATAATCAAAATTCATGCTGGGATTCTAACCATGGTCTTTCGCTTGTAAGCAAGTATTCTGGCACTACACCAAGTTATTTAATTATTACAAGAGTAATTTAATGCAAATTATTTGAAATATTCTAATTCTGTAGTGACATATTCTAAATTTAGAAATCTTCCTAAATTCAAAATCTCAAAATCTTATAGTTGACCCCGAAACAACCCAAGATTGCATTTTAAAGCAATGTGCAGGTTTAATATTAAATTCTTCTGCATTAATATTGATTTTTAATTATGCAATAAACAAGAATACATATTTTTAAGATGATTAATACAAGTACATTTAACAAAAATAATATTAGTCATTAGTTTTGTATCAAATCTGTAGACCCCTTCCTCTCTATTTTCTACTTCACATCCAGAGTTAGAAACCAAGGTAGACTAATCAGTGTGGTATATAGCACCATCATGTAGATATGCGCTCAAATCAAAAAAATCTTTAAGAAAAGAAAAGAATTACCCAGAGCGAATCTAATATTTCCTCAACCACCCAGACTTTATTTAAGACTAGTAGAATCGCTAGACTGAGTCTGAACTATCAGAGCATGACAATTTTTTAATCTGACATTTTTGTATCAAATCTTCGTTACAAAAAAAACATAACATTGTTCATGTTGCCAAAATTTCTCCAAAATGTTTATGACATTGGCTTCACATATCTATAAACTATAGAACCAAACTAACAATGCAGTGACGTAGCGACTGGCAACAATTAAAATAGTTTAACCATAGAAGGATAGAGGTCCAAATGCCCTGCGGAGGCAGTGTAATAAAATGTGGAATCTTATACAATTGTTTGTGGTGAAATAGCTTGAAGTAGCAGATGTTATGCCTATTATAACTAGACATGTAAATTGAACAAGTTCAATTTAAGACTCCAGATTTCAAACTTTTTTTAAGCTGAGTCATCCAGAATCTTGTAAGCTGAGTCATTCAGAATAAGCTGAGTAAGCCAGAATATAGACATTTAGACAACTCTTAAGAATGTTATCTTCGACTCCATTGGTTTAACATGGGGAAATCATCATATCGACTTTTCGAGACTTCAAACTGCAATGACTATGTAACTAGAAGTTGGATTGAAATTTGCTTTAAAGATTCGGATTCCTGAGAAAAATCTACCCTTAATTCATAACTCATACATTAAATTGGGAGAACTTTTTATTTTGACCTGCATTTCGGACACCATATCTCAAAAGTGGGGCAAAATACTTTCTGACGGCAAAAGGCTAACACTATAAGCACACTCTTTGCAACCTGTCTACAAAATCTGGAAGCAAATCATCAAAGTGTAATGTCAGAATCGCAAAAATAAGTAAAAACTATGAATTTGACCTAGATTTTGACCTAGGCATTTTGCGTCCAAATTTTAAAGCTAGATAGCCTTCGAGGTCCCCTCCTTTTATAGGCTTTCAGAATATTAAGCTGTACTCAGTCTATATCTGGTATTTTACACTTCAAAAAAAATCCTTTTTCTCATTGACATAATATGGGGCACCAAATTTAGCGATTTTTGAGCTTTCAAAACGCCATAACTTTCGAACCGGTAGTCGGATCGAAATCTGGTTTGCAGATTCGGATTGCTGACAAAATTCTACCCCTAATTCATAACTCATACGTTAAATTTGGAATTTTTTTATTTTGACCT